GAATTTTTCACCAAACTCTTCAGCAATCCACTGAGCAGTTAGTTGTCTAGTGTGCACATTCCTATGACATACATGCTCTTTATGCAGTTGTTTTATAGCTACACTACCTTTTTTTTCAATCACACTGGCATAAAGTCTCCAAGGGCAGCCATCTTGACATCTAACTTCTAATTGTCTCCTGTTACACCTTATATTCTGAATATCTCTACCTTGCACAATTGCCACCCTTCTCACAGCTTTCTTGCACTGTTCAATGCTTTCAAACCTCATGCCAAGCTGAAAGTCAAGTGCATTATGATCACACTTGGGATCATACAATAACCTTGTCCTCCTTTTAACAAAATTCCCTTTCAAATCCATTTATCTGTCACTATCTGACTCATCAGAGATTAGTGCATTATGTAAAAATTCATCCTCTTCAAAGTCCATCCCAGTTGTGGCCATTGGATGTGTATGGCCTGCATCATCATCACAATCTTGAACTTTCTTCTTAGACTCCTTCAAGTTCTTTCTTGCCTGAACATATTCATCATCATCAGAAATAAGATCATCAGACAGGTCATCATCTGATGAACTCACCCCATTTGGAAAATAATCTTCATCCTCAGATGACTCTTGTGACCCCAACCCAGCACATGCACTATTAGTTTCTGCATCAGCTTCACCATGTTCAACAGAAGTGTAATTGTCTATAATATCATTAATATCTTCCAACTGGTCTGCAGGCTCATTCTGAATTGATGCCTCAGCCTGACTCAAACCATTCACCTCTTCCATATGATCTTCACCTTGCTGGCCATCAGATTTTGTCTGATTCAAACCATTCACCTCTTCTCCATCATCTTCATCTTGCTGGCTATCAGATTGTGTCTGACTCAAACCATTCACCTCTTCCCTAGCCTCAGCATTCTCATCTGCTTCATCATCAATTATGTCACCACCAACCACATAAATCTGAATTACAGTTCTGTTATTCTTACCACAACTAATAATCTCCATAACCCCTTTGTCATCAGTTACATCTCTCAAACTATCAGCACCAAGACCAGCATCAGGTATTCTATACACAATTTTTTCATACTTCTTAACTCCCAACTTCTTAAGTTCTTCTTGTAGGTCAAAGTAGCCAAACCTATCTGCATCTAACCCATAAATACTCTTCAAAGTACCAGTTAGATACTCCACAATAGGTCCACATTTCACAAAATAACCTCCAAAATTGACAACCAATGCAAATTTGCCTCTGCATTTAATTAAACATAGAAAAAAGCATCAGACTCAATAATCCAATCATAACCCTGATTCTATCATAACTCTAATGTCAAAATAGATTTACAATAACAAAATAACTGTAAACATTTCGAAATTGTTCGAAACCCTAATTTCAGAATGAATGTACAATAAATAAAATGTAAGCAATTTGAAATTGTTCGAAACCCTAATTTCAAAATAAAACCCTAATTTGAAGAGGAACCCTAAATTCATAAACATATTTAAAATCTTTCGAGCCCTAGGTCAAAATCTACAATAATATTTAACAAATCGATCACTACTTAATATGTAATTAACACTGAATTAAAAAATCACAAACAAGAAAATGTTTCCAGATCCCTAAGTTCGAATCGACCGACGATTTTCAGAATTTCGACAACAAAAATAAAAAAAATGACGGATTGACATACCTGTCGGTCATAGTCGTTTCAATGGGACCGCAATTTGTGAGCTTCGACAACAAGATTGTGAGCTTCGACGAGAATGGGACCACAACGTTTTCAAAGAGCGAAAAAAAAATTCTAAGTCTGAAAATGGAAATTAGGTTTTCTTGATTTGGGGGAAAATGCGTGTTTTATAATGCCTTTACCACGTCACAACACTGAGAAGCAAGCTAGTCCACGTAGGTAGAGCTTAACGGACACGCTGGCAAAAATGAAACGGCCGTCTGAATTTGGGTTCGGGTTGCAAAAACGGGACAAGGTTAGGTTATTTTTGCTAAATCGTAAAAGTTTGGTTAAAACGGCAAAAAGTTGTAAGGTCGTGCTTTTACCGGCAATTAGGCCAAGTATAAAAGGTACATTCCTAAATATAGGAAATACAAAAAAGATAATCATAAAATGAACAAACCCAGATATAGAAGAAGAATTGAAAGAAAAGAAAAATATTGCCCAAAGGGAAAAACTAACTGTAAATGTTGGTTATGTCAAGAAGAAGGTCATTATGCAAATGAATGTCCTAAAAGAAAAGTAAGTAAAGATAAAGTTAAAATGCTTTATGGAATGCAAAAATTCAACTTTGAACCAATAGAATCTGAAAATGAGTCTAATGATTCAGAATATGAATTAAAATTTGAAATAGAATATAAACAATTCTATTCTAAACCAAACTCTGAATGGGAAAGTTGCACTGATGAATCGTTCTGAAGAATGGAACAATTGTTAAATATAACTAACCCTAATAGTACTTATATCAAGGTGGGTTTTAAATTCACTGGGTATAAACTATATCATCTTCATGGATATATAGATACAGGTGCAAGCATTTGTGCTGCACATCCTTTTGTATTGCCCATTGAAAAATGGGAAAATGCTAAACAAAAAATAACTGCACGAGTTGCAAATAAACAAGTAATTATTTTAGAAAAAGTGGCTTATAATGTCACATTCTTAATAGCAGGAGAAAAATTTATAGTTCCGCCTATATACCAACAAGATACGGGAGTAGACCTTTTAATAGGTAATAACTTCTTAAAATTATACAGACCATTTGTCCAAGAATTAAAGTATATACTGTTACACTTAAATGAAGTACCAGTTTATATAACAATAGTGCAGAAAGCTTATAGCTTTGCATCTAAAGAATTTATGACAAATAACTCCAACCTACGAAAACGTAGTGAGGGTACTGAAATAAAAAAGAAAAACATTGCAATAACAAATGAAACTAAAAATCCAGAAAGAGTTTTTATTCGAACCATGCAATGTAAAAGAATAATGAATAGCTTAATATATAAACATCAAATGTTTTATATGTTGTCTTTAGAAGACTGTCAAAAAGCATTAAATAAAATAACGAGTGAAAATCCGTTAGATAAAATGCTTAATAAAAGCATAAAAAACCCAGCTTTACATGTTGAAATAAAATTAATTGACCCCTTAAAGGTTATAAGAGTCAAACCAATGTGTTATACTCCTCGAGATAGAGAAGAGTTTAACATACAGATTGAAGAATTAATAAAAATGAATTTAATTCGACCTAGTAAATCTCCACATAGTAGTCCAGCTTTTCTTGTAGAAAATGAAGCTGAAAAACGAAGACAAAAAAGATGTATGTTTATTAACTATAAAAAATTAAATGATAATACAGAAATGGATGGGTATTTTTTACCTAAGAAAGAAGAATTATTTCATTTAATAAAAAATATGAAATGGTTTAGTACGTTCGACTGTAAGAGTGGATTCTGGCAAGTTCCTCTGAAAGAAGAAAGCAGAAAGTTAACAGCATTCAGTTGCCCAAATGGACAGTTTGAATGGAATGTTGTTCCATTCGGGTTAAAACAAGCTCCTGGATTATTCCAAAGGAGAATTGACAATGCTCTATGTTTAAAAGACCCGAGCAAAAAATTTAGTAAAATTTGCACGGTATATGTTGATGATATAATAGTCTTCAGCAAAACCGAACAAGAACATTATAAGCATGTTATACAAGTACTAGAACAATGTCTTAAAGAGGGAATAATTCTCTCTGAGGAAAGGCGAAAATTGCTCAAACTAAGATTAATTTCTTAGGACTTGAAATTGAAAATGGAAGTCTAACTATGCAACCGCATATCATGACAAAAATTTCTGAATTTCCCTCAGAAATAGGAAATAAAAAGCAACTACAAAGATTTCTTGGAATCTTAAATTATGTAGAAGGCTACATAGCCAATTTGGCAGCAATACGTAAGCCTCTACAAGCAAAATTGAAAAAGGATGTCGTTTTTACTTGGTCACCAAGTGATACAATGTATGTAGAAAAAATAAAGCAAACACTTAAAATTCTGCCCACGTTATATCACCCTCAAGAAAATGATAAAATGATTTTGGAAACAGATGCCTCCGACTCTTATTGGAGCGCAGTTTTAAAAGCAAAACCAGTAGAGTCTTCTGAAGAAAAATTGTGTAGATATACTTCAGGAACTTTTAAGGATGCTGAAAAGAATTATCATAGTAATGAAAAAGAATGGCTAGCAGTTTTACGGGGCATTCAAAAATTCAAAATATATCTTATCTCCAATAAGTTTTTAGTAAGAACTGATAATAAAAATTTCAGTTATTTATTAAAAATAAATTTAAAGGAGATTATAAACAAGGGAGATTGATTAGGTGACAATTACACCTAAAACACTATCAATTTGATGTTGAACACATAAAAGGTGATAAAAACTATCTTGTTGATTGTCTAACAAGGGAATTTGCAGGTATTTGATTGAAGAAGCATGTACTCAAACACGATCATCAAAAAATTGTAAAATCAAAAGCAAAAAGGACCAGAATGGATCTTCAAGTTGAAGAACTCAGATTAGAAATCATGCAAAAGGAACATGAATTGGAAATCTTAAAACAGAAATTGAAGATAATACAGCTGAAAAATCAAACAGAGAAGGGAAGACTCTCAAAGCCTGATAGTAAAAGTAAAGTCAAAACCACAACCGAATACAAAGATGCTTTGGTGAAAGATCAAAAGGCCCAATCAACCTTTATCGAAGATGAAAGGGCACCTAATTGGTACACGGTGCATACTGGACCAAAAATTGGAGTCTATAATAGCTTTGAGAAAATAAAAGATTTGCCACCTGAATACTATCATACGGCAAAAACTGAATTCGAAGCAAGAATGATCTTTGAAAAGTTAAAAAACAAAATCACTGAGAGAGTACCAGTATTCCGAAACACTAGTATTCCTAAAGAGCATCATTTGAAAAATCCATTCATAAAATTTGATGAATTCAAAATACAGCAACTGGATAGTAAGTTAATCAAAAATACTATAACCAAGGAAGAATGGCTCACGTTATATGAAGAGGCAAACACGAGTACAAGTGAACAATGATATATTCCTATAGCAGAAATCAACAGATCAAAGCTATTTTGCTACCAGGAGTTACACCTGAAATAACAAGAGACTTTTTCCTAGGAGGATTCATTGAAACCCTCTACCCAGAAAACAATTTAAAGGAGTGGTCATATTTTCCAAAAATTAAACAAGCAATTGCTTTGTACATGGAAAAATGCAGAATTCGTGAAAACAACAAATCAATCTTTGTCAAGATATGGAGCTCAATACCAGACTGGAACGAAGAAGAACAATATCCAGCATACCACTATATTCATGTGGGGGTATCTGGAGAAGTGAAACTACCAGTACCACTGGTACAAGAAAAACCTCCATTGACAGAGGAAGAGCTGAAATTAGAAAGAGCAAATAGAATTTATTTTATCTTGAAAACCTTAGAAAAAATAAATTCATCAAGCCAAGTTAAAGTAAATTATTGCAGCCCGAATATACTTCTGGTTAGTAATTTCAATAAGAAAATTGACAAACAAGACTGGCCATAGTCCAGAATTGGCAGGACAATCTTATTCTTAAGATCCATGCAACAAAAGCAACAAAGCAAATGGTGCAGTCCATTGTTCTTACAGTCAATGAAGAGAAAGAAAAGCATCAAAAGAAGAGGAAGAAGGTTGCCGATGTTGTAGCCAATTATTTTTATTTTTACCGAGTACCGAATCAAAAGATTCGTTCCCCGGGTCGATCTCTCGAGGAAGACGGTTCGGAATCTAGCGTTGGTATTAATCACACACGAAAAGAAAATAAGTCCTAAACACTCTAATCACTATTAATTTGGTGAATTAACTAAAACAAGCTAGAACTAGAAAAGCAATTTAAAGAAATAACAATTAAATATCTAGAGAAAAGGAAGAAGTTCTAGAGCTCGGGAAATCTCATCAAGTCTTAAACTATGTTGAATGATTATTTGTTCCGTTACGAGATTTAACAAGCCTACACGTCTAGAGGGCTATGCTCAATAACTCTTCGTAACAAGAGCACATACATAAACGATAAACTCATTCAAACAAGCAACACATAGACA